ACATTCTGGAATTTACACAACATCATTTCCACCATATTCTATAGGTCCAAGCAAATCACAAGGCCAGTCTAGATTAAAAGAGAGTGGAGAAACAGTCTCCACCTTTGGCTGGGGAGAAAGGTAAAATCACATGACACAGGAGTACGTACAACGGAACGAGAGGAATTTATGGCCACTGGAAAATTACCACACTTTGGGAGAACTTTGAGTTTACTCATTTCCTAATCCATTAACATGTCCACAATAAATTCTTTAAAAGAAATGCTTTATTCATTTTCCCTATTCCAGATGAGCACAGAATTATAGGTGGGAAATTTTTATTAGAAGAAATCAAAACGGCTAATAAGCATATGAAAATATGTCTAACTTCACCAACAATATGTAAATGCAAGTAAAAACAAACAGATACCATTTCCCATTCATCGTATAGTCCAAAATTAAAAGTTACTGTTGGCATACACACAACAGAATTAAGTTCAACCATAAAAAATTGTCCCTACTCAAATATTTTTGACCTACAAAAACAATTTCATATGGTTCAACCAAGAAAAGGATGTTCCTTACAGCATGGTCTACTAAAAAAAAAAATCCGTCAATAAGAAAACAGTATGAGATAGTCCTACAATGTAGTCTTTTATAGCAGTTAAAATACACTGACCAGATCACAAAACAGTGTTAAATTTAAAAAGGCAATGTAGAAAACATGTATACTGTGATGCTATTTGTATAAATGTAAATACTACAAATTAATACTATTATTAGATATGGATACATACATGGCTGTGAGAGAACTAATCAAGGAATTGGAAGGGTATACACCAACTCCTGATAGCTATTGCCCGTAAGGCAAAAGGGCTGGAACTTTGGGTGGCGGTTAAAGGGGTCTTCAGCTTTATCTCTTGTTTTATTTATTATTTTTTAATGAAGAAAATGTAACTAAATGTAGGGTAGTGAGACTATATTGAGGATCTGCCATGTGAATCTTTTGTGCTTTGTGGTATTTTCAATTTCACAAAATAAAAGACCAGTTTGATACAGGGAGGTAAAGCAAATAATTTGTAGCTAATGATTTATAGCTAATGATTGCCTTGACAACTTGTAAATTACAGAAAAAAAACAAACCAACCCAAACATAAGAAACTTGTGCCAAGTTCTTTCCCCCAATATTAAGGATCAGCCACACCAGAGATACCACTTTGGGAGATATGTAAATTTATCAATACCGTTTCTAACAATATTAAGTGAGAAAAGACGTTATCATGGCAAAAATACCTGAAATGGGAATTCTTAATCTAGGGTCTGTAAATCCCTGACATTTGCATATCACCTCATTTCGAGAAAGTTCCCAGCTCTTCTCAGAGCTTCAAGAATCCTAAAAAAGATGAAAAACAACGAAAGCAACTGCCTTGTTCATAATACACATTCACTAAATTCACGGGGCTCTTCACGGTCTGTGGACCCTCCCACACCTATAGTTCAGTCACGGTGCACTTCTCCCTGACACCCAGATAATGCTTTTGCCTCATCTTTTTCTCCCAATTTAAATGTCCCCTCTTTGGAGCCTCCGAGCAGTTCACTCTGTGGTCTGTGCAAAAGTTCAAAGTTTATACTGATATCACATGATCAAATTAGAACCATGGCTCTCTATCAGAAACACTTTCTAAATTATAATTCTATTTGCTTTTAGTCAGAATATATTTTAAAATGTAAATATTAAATTTAATCTAATAAATTGAAGTAATGACCTTTTTATGTTTATCAAAAATGACATGGATGGAAAACTTTGACAAATATGAACACAAGACATAGAGATCAGAAGCCAGAAAGAAATCAGGAGATGAAGGGGATCTGTTTTAGGGAGCTGCTTTCTCTACACTTCAACCAACTCAGAATTATCCATCCATTTACTTTTATAGATCAAAGTGGAAAGTGAAGAAATAGGCTTAGGTACATAAAGGAGGAAACCCCTTCTTTAGAGGAGTATAGAAAAATTGATTTCTTTTTGAATTTTCCTGAATACAGTATAATCTCCAATATACTCATCTGTGGCTGTTACAACAAAATTTCCTAAGTTGTCAACACTCTGACAAGCCATCTGTGGAGCCAGTCTCCCACACTGAATCAGGGTGGGTCTGTGTGATCATGAGAATTTGGTGTAAGCAATGGTGTATAACTTCCAAGGCTAGAATATAGAAGACATTGTGGTATTTGCCATTTGTTCTCTCTTCAATTACTCAATCTGGGGGAAGTTATGGGACAGTCAAGCAGATCTATGGAGAGGTCCATGTGGTAAGAAACTGAGATCTCCTGCATTAAGCCAGCAAGTAATGGAGGCCCATGGGTGAACCATATTAAAATAAGATCCTCCACCCCTAGGCAAGCCTTCAGATAACTGACATCTTGTCTGCAATCCTAGGAGAGACCTTGAGCTAGAACCATTTAAGCTAAGCTGCTTCCAAACTTATGAAACAAATTGTGAGATGGGCTAATTCGTTACACAATAGATTCCTGATGCATACTATACTAAATGAAAGAAGCCAGACACAAATATTATACAGGGCTCTATTGATATGTAGGAGCCTATTGATATGAAATTTCCATAATAGGCAAATCCAAAAAGACAGAAAGTAGGTTGGTGGTTTCCAGGGTCTTGAAGGAGAAAGGAACAGGGAGCAAAGCCTAATGGGTAGATTTTTGGGGGTGAAGATGTCCTGGAATTGAATGGATATACACCTTGTAAATATACTAAAAACCACTGAATCATATACTTTAAAGTATATGAATTTTGAATTATATCTGAGACATGTATTTTTTACATTAGATTTGTTACCTAGAAGTAGAGTGAGGCCATAACAAAAACCTAAAACATGGGAATGGATTTGGAACAGAGCAGTGGTTGGAAGTTAGAGTGAAGTCTTTTGACGAGAGCATTAGTGAAAGCCCAGGAGCCTTGAAGAAACTGTTTAGAAGTATGATGGCCTTTCTGGAGGCTGCAGGTGTGGACCTAAAGGACAGTAAGGAAAATCTTATCAGAAACTGGAAGAAAAGGAATTCTAATTTTGTGGTGGTGGAAAGTTTAGCAATATTGTTGCCTTCAGGGACAGGGAAAATAGAAAATGTGCCCAATGACCTGGGTGATCCAGCTGAGACGTCCAGTGTTGAATGTGTCTCCTGGCTTCTTCCTGCTGCTTATACCAAAATGCACAAGAGACATAAGCTAAAGGAAGGACTACTAGACAAAAAGAATCAATAATGATGATTTGGAAAATTCCCAGACTCTCCAGATGATGAATGAAGCTAAAATGGCTTCAAGGCAAAGATAAAATTTAGGGCACTTCCAGGAAGACATGGTCTAAAATGAAGCTGAAGGGGTGTTTGGGTGGCACAGTTGGTTAAGCGTCCGACTCTTGGTTTTGGCTCAGGTCGTGATCTCAGGGTGGTGAAATCGGCCCCACATCGGGCTCCAGGCTCAGTGAGGAGGCTGCTTAAGTTTCTCTCTCCCTCTGCCCCTCCCTGTACTCACATGTGCTCTCTCCCTCTGTAAAATAAATAAATCTTTTTTTAAATAAAAAAATAAAATGAAGCTGAGGGTCTGACTAAAATCCTTTGACTGCTGAAAGATCCAAGATGGTGCCTCAGAGAGCTATATAAACAACAGGGTTTATTAGAAACAAGGTTTTTCTCCAATTGTCTTAGCAGAATCCCAAGTTACAGAAGCGCTTTCTTTGAAGAGATTTGGTGGTATGCTTTTTGTTTACTAACATGAACCCCAGTGAGATCTGTAGGAGCCTCACCAAGTTTAAACAAATTGTATTGGCAGGAACACTATTCCAACTGAAAGGAGAGATAGAGTCCAAAAGAAGCCTTTGAACCTCCAAACTTATATAAGCAGAAAGCAGGATGAGAAAACCACTCAGCTACAAACACATGCTACCTTTCATGAAAAAATAATAAGTCAGAGGGCAGAACCAAGGGCGCAGAGAATATAGCCCAAGAGCCAAGAATTATCCCCAGGCCTTGAGTACTAATCAAGGAGCTGCCAACCTGTGTCTGGATGGATTTCAGAATTGCTAGGATATGTCTTCCATTTCCCCCCGTTCTAAAGAGGAGAGTCCATAGCCATCACTGCATAGGTTGTGCCATTGTATGTTGCACATATGGGGAGCAGATCACTTGCCTTTAGTTCACCAGTCTTCAGATAAAGAAGAACTATACTTAAGGAACTACCCCCAAGGAACCTCATCCACACCTATACTTACGTGATAGTTTTGAGCTGATACTATAATGGAATGAAATTTCTGGAAAACTTGGGAGGAGGTAGGAAGGACATTAATCATTGGGGACCAGAGGTCAGACTGTGGTAGATGACTCCCAATGATCTTCACCTCCTGATATTCATACCCTGTGTAATCCCTCCGAGATTGTTATCAGGGTTGGTTTGTGAGATCTAGAGAATATAGCAAATGTGATGGTATGTGATTTCTGAGGCTAGGTTATAAAAGACATTGGCTTCTGTCTGGCTCATGGATCTCCCTCCTGCCCTCCCTTTGTCTCTTGAATCACTTGCTCTGAGATACTCAAGCAGTCTCTGTCTATGTCTGTCTATGTCTCTGAATCACATGCCACTAAAATACTCAAGCAGTCTTATAGAGAGGCCCACATGGAGGGAAACTGAGACCTCTTGCTACTCACAAGCCAGAGGACTGATACTTGCCACCAGTCAAGTGAGTAAGCCATTTTAGAAGCATTTCCTCCAGCCCCAGAGAAGTCTTTAGATGATCACAACATCTTGTCTGCAACCTCAGAGAATGGCATCAGATTCACCCAGCCACGCTACTGAATTCCTGAGCCTCGGAAACCATAATTTTTTCTTCTTTTAAGCTGCAATAGATAACTTACAATTTCTCATAAACTTGTTTCTGCTGTCATATTAAAATGACAATATTTGAAGTTTCCTGTTGAATAATATTTTCTTTATATTAGATATTCAAAAATATATATTTTTATCAGAATATTTTATTTCAAGAATTAACACTTTTTTCAAAAAGTAAAAATAATATAATTACTTCCCTGAGTATAAAGAACTAATCCTACAATAAAAGACAATTACAAAATTAAGCAATTAGAGGTACATAATTCTCTGCATTCAATTATACCCTATTACAAATCTATTTTTAAAAATCTCATGTATTTTGGGGCTTTAATGTTTCAAACAACAGCAACAACAAGAACAAAACAGCTCATTTTGCACCTGCAATGTTAAGATACGTCAGATCTGTCTTTATCAAATTCCAGAGCAATCTTTAAAGCAGTGCTATTGAGGCCAACAGATTGCATGTTACAGATGATAGAAACGACTATTCCTCTCGGGGGAACCTTGTTATTTATAGCTTCCACATCCAGTTCTTCGGGAAGGACCAGCAGGACACTGCTGGCACCCACCGCACCTCCGGTGTGTGAGGCATAATGCCGCTGCTTTCTACAAGAACCATACGTTTGCTTCTTTTCCACAACACCCCAAGCCATTGCGTATTTACCCTCTTTATCCCAAGACATCTCTGTGTTAGGGACTGGTGTCCAAATCATAACCATTGTTTCTGGCTTGAGATATCCGGGTAAAAGATTTTCATGTGAGTTCTTAAAGAGCCCAACTTGGTAACCATACAGCATTGCATTCCCAAATTTCAGAAGGTCACCCACTGTAGACAGAAATCCACCACCAGCCCATTTATAGGAGTTATCCACGTATGGTGTGTTGACAAGACGTCTCTTTTTATTGTAAACATAAAATCTAAAATGAAATAAGAACGGTCATTAAAAACTTAAAAGTCTATTATGGACGTTACATATGAGAACGAATAGGAAAATATGTACATGAGACAGGTTGTTTCAATGTAGTGATAATACATTCTAAGAAACCATTAATTTTCAGTATGATTCAGGTTCTAATAAAACACAGATAATTGAGTAATTAAAGCATAGAAAGCTGTTTTCTTTTCCCTACTGGCATGGCTTGCCCATTTTAAGTGTATCAAACTTTTAATACCTGTAAAAATGAATTGATTAATATTACACATGATACATTTGCCCAGTGCATATACAGAAACACTTACTGTTTGGTAGATATTACTAGTCCTTGGGCTCAGTGAATCATGTGCCACATGTGAGTTTTATAACGAAAAGAGTACACATTAAGATGTTTAAGATTAATATTTGTAAGGAGACTACATCTCCTGGTTAAAAATGCCATAGGAATACTATGTGTAATGATGTGATGTGGGACTCCTTGGTGTAGTGAAAGAAGCTGGAGCTCACAAACCCATTTGAATCCCAACTCATCCTTACTAGCTGGTAAAATATGCTTCTTTATTTGATTGACACTTACACAGTTCTTGCTATATGCCGGGCATTGTTCTAAGAACTGTATCAGTATGAACTAATTTATTCTTGTAACACGGTTCAGAGGTAGGTACCACTATAAGTCCTATTTCACAGATAGAAAATGGAGGCACAGAGAGTAGAAAGAACTTGTCCCGGATCATACTGCTTGTAAGTGGCAGAGCTGGATTCAAACCAGGTGGTCTGCTGCCTCTGATTCAGCATCCTAATGTGTGAAGTGGTGACAAAAATATCTACTCTGCAGAGTTAGGAATATTTGTATCAATCACTTTCCATATTTCTGGTAGCTTCCTAATAAATGATAGCTGTTATTTATTCATGCATTCAACAATTACTGATGGAGCACTTACTATGTGGGAGGCACTGCTTGAAATGCTGGAATGAAGTGTTAAACAAAAGAGACAAAGTGCCTGACCTCATGAGGTTTCTATTCTAATATCAGGTAACTGAAATGAAATCACAAAATAATTAAACCAAAAATGAAACGTGGCTCATGAGAATCCTTTCTTTCAAGATTCATAATAAAATGTGTTCTGAGGTTTTCAGTGTACTGTCCCATCTGTAATGATCGATCTTCGTCTTCATCCCACCGTGGGATGTTCATAAGCACTGTCAGACTGAGTCTCACCATCACTTTCAACCGCTTTATGGGTAAGGTCTCAAACTCAGACACTTCTTCCTAGGACTATGATTTCCAATCCTGCCAACTCTCCAACTGAACCTGCTCTCTGCCGTCATTGTGACCTCCATCTATTCCCCTTGACTCTTCCCAATTTCCCAGGTCTTCTAGTTCCTGATTTCACCCAATGTTCTGTTCTAGCCTCAACTGTTTCAGCTGTGGTCTCACTAGCACTCTTGTTGACAGTACACCAATCTGCCAATCCTGAATAAATCTAGGTACCCCTTTCTTTGGCTCCTTATGTGGGGAGAAAAGCTGCAGATAGTCACATAACAGAGGACTGGTATCAGTTCATACTCTTGCTAAGGGTCTTCACTGCTGCTACCAAATCTCATTCTTTTCCTGGTTATTCCCTGGTATATTCTTCCCAATAGCTATTCCCAGTCTCTTCCAGTCCTCTACACCACTCTGGCCAAGGGGCAGACAACTATATCCTTTGTTTTACTGAGAAGATTCCGGTGTGCTTTAGATGGCCTCAAACTCCCATCTTTAAAATGTATTTACATTATCATGCATTCTTTTTTCCTTCTCTCCAGTCACTTAAGAAAATTTCCTATTGGGGCACCTGGGCGGCTCAGTCAGTTAAGCGGCTGCCTTCAGCTCAGGTCATGATCTCAGAGGTCCCGGGATGGAGCCCCGTGTCGGGCTCCCTGATCAGCAGGGAGCCTGCTTCTCCCTCTCCCTCTCCCCTGCTCGTTCTCTCTCTCTCTCTCTCTCTCAAATAAATAAATGTTAAAAAAAAATTTCCTATTGTTTTTATGACTAATTCTAACCTGCATCCCTGACTGCCTTTTTGCCTCTACAACATTCTTCCACCAGTTATACTTCCTAGATCATTTTATCTCCTTGCAGTCCATTCTCCATGCAGAAGCCTGAGATTGTGTCTTACCCTTCTTCTATTTGAAAACTTCCAATGGTTACCACTGTAATGAGGACAAAACCCAAATTTCTTATGATGGCCTACAACACAATCGATGGTCCTCAATAGAGGCAGTACCAACTCCTTCAGGGAAATTTCTGGAGGCATTTTTTTTTAGGTGTCACGATTATTAGAGAGCTCTTACTGACATTTAGTGGACAGGGGCTCAAGGTTCCTAAATGTCCTATGATGTGTGGAAAAGTCCCACACAGTAGTGTATTCTCCCTTACCATAGAAGACCTTCAACTATCCTACCAGATAATCATTTAAGTAAAATATCTGTTTATAATGAGCTGAGACTAGAACCCTCTCCATTTTATATATAAACACAAAGCACTTTTTGGACATTTTTATTCTACAATGACTTTTTCTTCAAAGTAACCACTGTGAAAACTGAAGAAGGACTGCACTTTATTTTGCTCACAACTTTAGCCAGAGGTGGCCACCAAAGGCATGAGTAGAAGCACCAATATGTTATACCTGTATTGGTCTGCATTTATAGTTGTTACATTTATGATGCTTTCATGTCTTAAGTCGCATCTGACTTTATCATGTCTTCTAATGTTGTGAGTAAACTTTAACATATTGAAATATCTATAATTTATTATAAATTATATTTTTTATTTTTTCTTTTCTTACGATTTTTTAAAGATTTTATTTATTTTACAGAGAAAGTGAGAGACAGAGACAAAACATGAGTAGGAGGCAGAGGGAGAAAGAGAAGCTGACTCCTTGTGGAGCAGGGAGTCTGATGTGGGGCTTGATTCCAGGACCCTGAGATCATGACCTGAGCTGAAGGCAGACCCTTAACCAACTGAGCCACCCAGGTGCCCCTTATTTTTTATTTTAGTTAAGAGTAGTGAGTATAAGTTATTTGATCTATAACTTTCATTTCAGGAAACTAAAGGAGGTATAAAATATTTGTTAAATTAAGGGGCAGAGAGTCTAATGGCATTGAGATTCACTGTACAATGCAATTTAGCCCCTACTTACTTCTCTGATATCATCGCTTACAACATCTTGCCTTGCTTCTTTTCATGCCAGACTTATTTCTGTATTTGCAACAAGGCAATTTAGCTTTCCTTGTCAGTCGTGTCTAAAACGTATTTTAAATAGATCCCCTACTCCTCTCCCTGTTACTTTATATAACATTGCTTTGTTTTATTTTATTTATTTATTTTTAAAAATTTTATTTATTTGACAGAGAGACACAGCGAGAGAGGGAACACAAGCAGGGGGAGTGCGAGAGGGAGAAGCAGGCTTCCTGTGGAGCAGGGAGCCCGATGTGGGGCTTGACCCCAGGACCCTGGGATCATGACCTGAGCCGAAGGCAGATGCTTAACCAACTGAGCCACCTGGGTGCCCCAACTTTGTTTTATTTTCATATCAGTATCTGAAATTCTTAGTCTACATGTTTGTCTCTTTCCATAGAATATAAGTGTCATAAGGGCAGGAACCTTACCTATCTTGCTCTTTGATGATTCCCCACCTATAACAGTTCTTGCTATCCACTAAGCGCTCATTAAACAAGTTTTTGGAGGCACCTGGGTTAAGTCTCTGACTTTGGCTCAGGTCATGATCTCAGGGTCCTGGGATCAAGTCCCTCAGCAGGCTCCGCATTCAGTGGGGAGTCTGCTTCTCCCTCTCCTTTTGCCCCTCCCCTGGCTGGTGCTCTCTGTGTCTCTCCCTCAAATAAATAAATAAAATAAAAACAAAAAACAAAAACAAAATGTTCAATACATGAAAGCATCATTTGTTGGCCAAATATTTAATGGAGACACCTTGCAAGGCACTGGAGAGACTAGTTAAACCATACACTGTAGCTGCTTTCAAGGCACTAACAGTCTTGTCAGACAGTTCTAACTTGCAAAGCACTATATGAATCACCTGGGGATTTTGTTAAAATGCAGATTCTGCTTCAGTAGGTAAGCCATAAAGCAACGAAATGACTCCAAAATCAAGACCTGAGCTGAGACTGAGTTGGACGCCCAACTGACTGAGCCACCCAGGCGCCCCTCAAAATGAACATGTCTTAAACTAATCTCTTCCAAACGTTCTTCTCTCCTTGGTTGAGGGGCGCCTGGGTGGCTCAGTCAGTTGAGCAACTGCCTTCGGCTCGGGTCATGATTCCAGGGTCCTGGGATAAGGTCCCACATCAGGCTTCTAGCTCAGCAGGGAGCCAGCTTTTCCCTCTGCCTGCCGCTCCCTCTGCTTGTGAGCACACATACTCTCTCTCTCTCTCCCTGGCAACAAATAAACAAATAAATAAAATCTTTTTTTTTTTTTTAAAGATTTTTTATTTATTTGAGAAAGAGAATGAGATAGAATGAGAAGGGGGAGGGGTCCAAGGGAGAAGCAGACTCACTGCCGAGCAGGGAGCCCGATGCGGGACTCGATCCCGGGACTCCAGGATCATGACCTGAGCTGAAGGCAGTTGCTTAACCAACTGAGCCACCCAGGCGCCCAAATAAAAAAAATCTTAAAAAAAAAAAATAAAACCTTGGTTGACTCTTTTGCCCTCAACTCTCACATCCATCAAGATACTAAATCCTATTATTCAACCTTTGCTTTGTGACTTACCTTTTTCCCTCCCTTCATTCCTATGGCCTCTCCCATATTTTAGGTCATTACTTTCAGCCTGAACTCTGATTACACTTTTTTTTTTTTTTTTTAAAGAGGGAAAGAGCGGGGTAAGGGCAGAGGGAGAGAATCTTCAGCAGGCTATACACCCAGTGGGGAATCCTATGATGGGCTCAATCTCACAACCCTGAGATCATGACCTGAGCCGAAATCAAGAGTTGAAAGTTTAACTGACTAAGCCACCTAGGTGCCCCCATTCTGATTACACTTCTAATTCCAGCCAATCAAATCTAAAAGAAACCACATAATAAAAATACATTTTCTCACTGACAAATATATTTCTCACAGTGAACTCCAAGTTTGCAAACTAGGAGAGAACTACCAGTATATTTTGGTTGATAATCAGCTTTGTGTAAATTTCTCTTAACAGTAAAGCATTCCAGGGGCGCCTGGGTGGCTCAGTCATTAAGCGTCTGCCTTTGGCTCAGGTCATGATCCCAGGGTCCTGGGATCCAGCCCTGCATTGGGCTCCCTGCTCCACGGGAAGCTTGCTTTTCCTTCTTCTACTCCCCCTGCTTGTGTTCCCTCTCTCGCTGTGTCTCTCTGTCAAATAAATAAATAAAATCTTAAAAAAAAAACCCAAAAAACAAAGAGTAAAGCATTCCAAACCACTTATATCAAGGCTGGAAATTAGGACACCCTCAGTCATTCCTCCTTTAAAGTATAAAAATGTGGAGAATTCTAGACTTCAATCTAGAATTCTAAACTTTAAATAAACAAATTACAAGCTTTAATCTCTTGATTCCTTTTCACAGAGGACAAGTTAATGGCTTTTCATGAAAATAATTTTGTTCAGCTGAAAGATAAGTTTACTATTTAAAATTCTTAAGGCATTTCTGCTCTAAAAAGAATGCAATATAGACACGAGTTCTTAAGTAAGTTACTGAGACATCTCTGTAACTGAGTAACTGATGGAATGATGCCAGATAACAAGGAGCCTCTTATTTAAGAATCTCTAGATTCTGCACAAGAGCACTATATAACTACAGAAATCTACATCTACAAACTTAGAAATTCAAAATACTTTTATTTTTACAATGCTTCTTAAATGCCTTTAGAAATAATTATGTACTGTTTGTGTTTTATTGTTTTGAGAAGTTTAAAAACCCACAGATTTTAAAATGCATATAATAAAAACCAAGCCCACTTTAACATTTAGCATTAACATTTGGATTGAACCTATTACTATCGAGTCTATCAGCTAATGGCATAGAAAAGAGCTTCATAAAGAACAATGCTTAGGGCACTTGAGTGGTTCAGTTGGTTAAGCATCTGCCTTCGGCTTGGGTCACAGTCCAAGGGTCCTGAGATCAAGCCCCACTGTCAGGCTCCCTGCTCAGTGGGGAGCCTGCTTCTCCCTCTCCCCCCGTTTATGCACTCTCTCTGTCAAATAAATAAAATCTAAAAAAAAAAAAAAGATTTTATTTATTTGACAGAGAGACACAGTGAGAGAGGGAACACAAGCAGGGGGAGTGGGAGAGGGAGACGCAGGCTTCCCGCGGAGCAGGGAGCCCGAGGCGGGGCTCCATCCCAGGACCCTGGGATCATGACCTGAGCCGAAAGCAGATGCTTAACGATTGAGCCACCCAGGCGGCCCTAAATAAAATCTTTTAAAAAAAGAACAATGCTTAATTTTAGAAGACAGTTTAGCAAATAAAGATAATAAATAATAATCATAAAGATAATAGAAAGTAAAGACCATATCTATACTGTCAAAATACAGCAAACACTTCAGGAAACATCCACTGTATTTGCTTTTGGTTCCGTCCAATTATAAAAGAGATTTTTTTGTTGCAAGTATTGTGCCAAACACAGAAAATATGAACAGAGTCTAAAAATAAGCTGATGCATTGACCAGGGATTCCCCTATCAACAGAGTGTCTTTTAGTGGCAAGAACATTCAGTCCACTCCCCCATGGGTATTTGCTTAAAGGGTTATTTAGTTTACTTGCCTATACAATATACTTGTTAAATAGAATCAATATACCTATTTGTGTATACTAAGTCAATTCCTAGCCTTCCATTTAAGAAAATCCCAGTTTTATTCAGGACAACAATGTACCCAGCTACAAACTAATTTCTCTGCATCTCTTAGAGCTAAGTGTGGCCTGTTGCTAAAATTCTGGCCAAAGAAATATAAGTAGTATTTTGGGGCAGGATTCTAAGGAAATACCTTAAAAAGGTGACAGACATTGGGACACATTGTTTTAAACAAAGGCACACATAGAGGAGCAAAAAGATGGTATTTACTCTTGGGTTACAATAACTCTAAAAAGCATAGGTTAGGATAATACAAATATATTTAATTTATGATAATTATCAAGGAGTAGACTAACAAAGCTGCAAACTTTTGCTGGAAATTTGATTTCCTGCAAAATGATGAACATAAATGAATAAAAACATATGCATTTACTAAGTTTTATTTGAAGGTGTTTTTTTTTTTTAATATATGTATCTTTGAAGTTTTTTACTCCCTGAACTCCCTTAAAAAGCTGGTGCCTTTAAGCTCTTTTAAAATAATTACTAACAAAAAAAGAATCAGAGTTGAGTTTTAGAGGCCCAAGTAGATATTGCATCAAGTAAAATAAAAATGAAGCAACCGGACAGATCATTTTCACAGATATTCTTTCTTTCCTTTTTCAGCAGCCCATTTAATATAACTACAATGAATTAACTACCCCTTTAGCACCATTGGGTGCTTCTAACAAACGCAGAGCTGATAGGAAACTTTAGCAGAAGAAATGGAAACCCACTGCCTTTTTTTTCTTCTTCAAAGAATGGGAGATAAAATGAAATTAACTCACCATCATATGCCATATTTTGATTTTTGTGCAAGTCATAAATTACTCATTAAGAAAACAGCAAACTGCCTTGCAGTTCTGTACATTCAAAGAGTCTTAATTTTCAATTTAGAAAAGCAGCTCAGTGATTATACCTAATGTTCTTCTCTCCCTTACATATAAGTGTAGACATCCGCTATCAAATACCTAGATCTAAATCAAAATAAGGTCATGTATCTATGCCATCTTTACTAAAGAATCTTTTTTAGATTCAACTGGCAACCTCTGGTATTTGTCAATTTTTCTTATGCTTTCCAGTAGAATGTAATGTTGGACCTAAAAATAATAAACACTAATTGAGGTGGTTGAGAACTACAGGCCATTTTAAAATTAAAATTCATTGCTTGCTGCTAACCTAATTTCTTTTAGGTCCCAAAAAACTCCTTCAGGCTGATTTGCAATGCATATTTAATCCTTTTAAATAAACTGGTAATTTAAAAATAGTAATTTAACTAAATATAACAGAAGACTGAACAAAACTAACGGGGATAAGAAGATAAAGCTAAAATAATCCCACCATTATATTTCAAGTACCATTAAACCATTTGCAAAGCATGTACTAAGAAAAATATGCAAAGTAAAAGTAACAATTGATTTGTTAAATGCCTTACCTTTCTAATGAAACAAATAATAATGAGTAAAATGGAAAACATAACCATATAACTCATAATTGTCAATAGTCTCAAAATTCTCTCCCAATGCCTGTTTTACAAATCACTAGAAAAAATTATGATAAAATTTTAGTTTGATATATTTCAATGAAATGACTAAAACTTTTACAGGGGGAAACCTAGCAGGTACCACTTCAACAAAGCAATTAAATCACCACCACAAATAACGGCACAAACTGACTTCATGTTACTTCTGAGAGACATTACAACTAAATGTACTGTATGATCCTGGACTAGATCCTGAAGCAGAAAATTTTTTTTTCCTTTTCTTTTGCTATAAAGGACATTATTGGAGGAACTGGTAAATTTGAAGAGGGTCTGTAGATTTGATATAAGTATTGTGCTGATATTAGTTTCCTGAATGTCCTTATTTTTAAAAAACACACATTTAATTATTTATGGATAAAGGGGTACCATGTCTGCAACTTATTTCCAAATGGTTGAGAAAAAAAATAACAGAGAAAGCAAGTGTAGTAAAACGATAACATTTGGGGAATCTGGGTGAAGGCTATATGGGAATTCTTTGTATTCAGTCTTATAATTTATCTTTAAGTATTAAATCATTTCAAAATTTAAAAAAAGTTAAAAATAATAAAAGATAAACAAAGTATTAACTACAATATAAATAAGGGGATGATGGAAGAGCAAATTATAGATACCCATGATAGGAGCAATTCTGCTTTAACTATGCATGAGTTTAAATTATTATTTCATCCAAGGATCCTGGAGTACTTTGTAAATACATTCAATTTCCCTTACTTTATAGATGGGAAAAACAGACATGTAGGAAAGCTCTCAAAATGTGGCAAGTGTGATTTTGGGATGGAGACAAGGAAAGTTTGACTTTTAATGAACAACACAGTGTTAAAATGTGATATAGCGAGACACACCAAAGGTATCATTTACCTTGCTCTATTGTAAATCACTGGCTCATTTTCTTCCTGCACAGTTGTCAGCATATCCAAGTCATGGAATATTTTCTGCATATAGTCCAAATATTTATATCCTGAAGCTCTTTCTACTATGGCTGCCAGTAGGGTATAGCCAAAAGTTGAATACAAAAACTGACTACCTTGAGACATCATTGCAAAGGAGAGGAAGAAAAGAAAATGCTTCATTATTATTTAAAAACATGCAAAATATTTCCCACTGAAAATTTACCTTTTTACTTCAGCATTTAGAAACAGATCATGGATGATATATTAATAAATTCAGTCAACTTTGCAATGGCCCTGCTTATTCCATTATTTAAAGATGATCAGAATGTGAATCTACTCCTTTCCGTAATAATGAAATAAGCAAATAAACCCTACCTCAAAACTAAATTAAAATCCTTCAAACTGGTACCAAAAGAGGAAGGGAAAGAAAAGCAAATTTGATTTCTTGAGTTAATGGTCTTGTTCTTAATATATCTAATACCCATTGTTTAAGGCATAAATTAGTTGTGCACATTCCTATTTTAAAAAAGTGTACATAGGTAGAAAAACTGTTTCAATATATATTAAAATACAAATACATATTCAAATATAGATACTATTTCAAATACATACCTGTATATCATTTGGGATTCTGGAAACACAGAGTATATGATGTGTACTAATAACTGGAACCTTATATTTTAAGACAAAATCCATAAGTATATTTCTTTGCCCTTATTAATCTTACCTATTATCTATTCATGGTAAAAAACAACTTTTAAAATGAAAATGGAATACAAGTACATAAACCTATGGTAAATTGAAAGATATTAAGTGGTTTTGGTAGCCATCATACCAAAAAAATATGTTTAAAAAATATTTTTCTAGATCAGCTTTTTGGCAAATAAATGGATGAAAAACAATTTCTTTAAGGAATGAAGGCACAAAATAAGTTGAGCAATTTAAATACTAAATTAAACACTAACTAAATACTGGCATATTAGCAATATTTTATCATGCCCTCTTTGGTCCAGATTTTATTTGAAGAACAATTATTACAACATTTCTCCATAATTTTCCACAAATAGCTTGATCTGGAAAATCCACTAGATGAATGATGAGGCTAAATCTAAACAACTGGCTACCTGGATGCTAGGCTTCTTCAAGAACTACAGACAAGAAGGCACACATGGGACTGACAACAAAACCCACGCCACAAGCATTAACCACATCCAATGCCCTCAGACTGGGATCATTTCAGATTTTCTGAAAATTAATACTTCAATAATGATGACTTTGTTAAGAGAAGGAATTAACACTCACCAGGTTTAAAAAACAAAGGGTCATTTTTAAATAATCTTAGTGATTCAATTGAATTCTCAAACTTTTCTTTCAAATACAATTCGCCTTGTTCAAAATCATTCTTTTTCTTGCCAGGTTTTAAGTTCCGGCCTTTGGCATCAGTATCTTGCTCTATCTTAGCTTTAACAAAGTCAGTCTTTTCATTACTTTTGCCTCCTTTTTCTTTGAATTCTTTTTCTTGGTCAGATTCCATTATCCCTTTCATCATCTTCAAGGCTTTGTAAGCTTTCTCTTCTTTCACCTTTTTCATGTCTTTTTCATAATGACGAATTCCACTTAAATGGGAAATCAGTAATCTTGTTGTGACAGAAACCTAATTGTAAAAACATGGAAATTCAATTACAATATTAAACTATACAGTAAAAAATTAGTAGGGGTGCCTGGGTGGCTTAGTAGGTTAAGCGTCTGCTTTCGGCTCAGGTCATGATCCTCCAGTCCTGGGGTGGAGCCCCATGTCAGGCTCCCGCTCAGCAGGGAGTCTGCTTCTCCTTCTCTCTCTGCCCCTCCCTCCCCGCTTGTGCTCACTCTAGCTCACTCTCTCTCTCTCAAATAAATAAATAAAATCTTAAAAAAATTAAAATAAAAAATTAGTCACGTTGGAATAATGTCTCAGTAATATTTTCCATTATAAACTGCTGCTGAAAAACATGTCATGTACACATCTTCAGCTTTAAGTTTCAGAGAAATACCCAATCGATTACCACCTGAATTTAAAAAAACCCCTTGAATCCATTAACAACAGTTAAAGACAAACCAAAGAATCTTATGAAACCTTTTAAACCATTTAACATGCTGTTAATAAAATGAACTGTGAGTTTCGTTACCTTTTCACCTTCATATTCTTTTTCTGGGAATTCAGGAACATAATGTTGTACTGGAATATCAAGATCCAGTTTCCCAGCTTCCCAAAGTTTGGCAAGAGCAACCATGGTGAGGCTTTTGCTGATACTGGCAATTCTCATAACGGTCTCTGGCCTGCATGGTACACGGTTCTCAACATCAGCATAACCTAAGCCTTTAGAAAAAGAAAAGCAAAAAATTACTAATAATAAGCTTCATGGTCAAAGGAGTCTTCAAAAACTGAAATAATACTGTCTTAGAACATCCCATGTGTTTGTCGAAAGGAAAAGATATTACATTTTTAATTAAGAGTGGATGAGGGTCTTAGTAACACTCACAACAGTAAACCTAACAACTTAATCTTAACTAAACGGAAATTGCACTCTGTGCACAATAATAATTTTCAATTGGTTCAGATACTAATTTTTCTTAGTTTATCTAGACAATTTAGTTATCCCACATTTTACATAAGTTATTTTATGCTCTTTAAAGAAAACATCATTATTCTTCAGATTATATTTACTCTTGATTCTTGAGTTTCCACTAGATTCCTTAAAATAACCACCCAATAAAAGTTAATGTGAAAAGGTGTCCTGCACACCCAATCTAGGTAATCTTCAGTTTACCTCAGCTGCAAACCAGAAAAAAAAGTACTATTAATTCTAAGTTCCTAGAGAACTTTTTAAAAAGTCTGGTTTCATCTTCTGGAGGCTTAAAGTGTGAAAATCTAAGTGATAAGAACTGAGATCTAAAGAGAACGAAAAGGCATACAATGATTGCTTTTAAACTGTAAATATAGATTATGCTGAAAAATATTTGCAGAAAAACAAAGCCCTCACCTGTAAAGCTGACATTTACACAGTTTTTGATTACAGTATTTTTCATAAATTGGGCATACTTGGGGGAAGAATCAGTTTTCTTTAAATTCAAAACCTTATTGCTCCCATCAACTTCTTTTAAAGGTACTAATTCCTTTCAATGATGCCTGAAACATTTCCTAAAAGTAGGGTTCCTAAAAACCTGGGATGACCAGTTGGACCAGTTTGTGTGCAATGGGTAAGTAAATCAAATTATAAAATATGATTTGATAAAATTATCATAAAATGATTAGAAATCTCTTTCCCAAAGCTTTTAACTTTTGGTATGAAAAAAATAAATGACACCTCTGCCCAGCAAAAAAAAAAAAAGGAAAAGTAATAAAGGAGATCGTAAACTCATTAAGACAAGGAACCATGAATGGCCCAAGTTCTTGGTGCTGTGCATTTAACAGATAGGGGACTCAACAACTTGTTAATTAAATGGTTAATTAAAAAACAAACAAACAGGGCGCCTGGGTGGCTCAGTCGTTAAACATCCGCCTTCAGCTCAGGTCATGATCCCAGGGTCCTGGGATCAAGCCCCATATCGGGCTCCCTGCTCGGCCGGAGGCCTGCTTCTCCCTCTCCCACTCCCCCTGCTTGTGTTCCTGCTCTCGCTCGCTCTCTCTCTGTCAAATAAATAAAATCTTAAAAAAAAAAAACCTTTGACATTTTATCTAGTAGTAAGGGTTATCTACAAATATGCAGGTAACAGATCGTTCTATATACAACTTTCAGAACAATAAATCCAGTCCTTAGAAACAAGACATCTTGAAGACTACAAGAGTCCCATTTAAATCTTGCTGTTTACAGAAAGCCCGATTCTTTATTCTGTTAGACATGTTTTCTCTACAATACGTACCGCTTTACGAAAACAAACATTTCAGGGGATCCACTCCTAGCAGTAATACATCAAAATTTCATTCATCAACTGGCATAAAACAAGCCAGTAAATAACACTTTTCTGAGCCCACCTTCTGACCAGACTTCTTTTCCATCTACAGAGACTCCAACCACTATGCCGGGGGCGCCCACCTCATCCTAAGAACGGAGGGAAAGGACAGACAGTTCAAAGACAAGCCGAATTGCCTCGCCCAGCGCACAGCGCGTGGCTCTGGGGCCTCCCGCCCCTCCGCCGGGCCCCGCCCCCCTCGGCTGCGCCAGGCCCGGCACTAACGGTGAGGGGCGTGCCCCGTCTGCGCTGCGGGCGAAGGGGAGGTTCCCGAGGCTGGCGGTGTGACCTCCGCCCCGACTTGGGCAAACCGCAGGAGCTTTTGACCGTGGCCGGGCGGTCGGGGAACGGGAAGTCCTTCTCGGAAGCCGGCCGCGGGCATCCCACCGCCTGGGGTGGGGTCCGCTCGGGCCCGGGAGAGGACCACCAAGTGGCCCCATTCCGAGGGGACGCGGGCAGTGGGGCGCCAGGTTCCCGGCCGCCTACGCCCCCGTCTCCGCACCTTGATCCGGTGCAGCAGGTCGCGGCTGCTGTCGATGGCTCTGGCGAAGCGCCGGGAGGGGGGCGGCATCGGGCTCTGTGCAGACCACGGAGCCAGGGGCTGCTCCTGCGGCGGCAGCTGTTCGGCCTGGGGCGACGCTTCGGGATCGGGGGCCGCTGGGGGCTGCGCGGGGGCCGCGCCCCTCAGGCCGTCCGCCAGCTTCACCCCGAGTGCCAGCCCCAGCCCCAGCCCGAGACCCCCGACCCAGCCGGGGCCGAGCGGCGGCAGGCCGGCGCGCTGGTGGGCCCCACGCCGTCCGCGGCCCCAGGCACAGCCCCCGGGGGTCGCGGCACGGGTCGTCACGGCTGACAGGAGCCGGTACATGGCGTCTGCCGCGAGCCGGCAGCCTCAGAGCTCGCGCAGGCCGGGCAGGCGGCGGAGGCGCCGGGAGGGGAGGGGACTAGATGGAAGGGAGGGGGCGGTGACCGCGCGCAGACCTTAGCAGTCGACGCCGGATGCCGGAGCGTCGATCGCATCGAGCCCTTCCTCTTTTCCCGTTCTTTCCTTGCCTTGTCTCATTCTTGATGTTTATTATCTTTCCCCCCACGGCTTTTCTCCCCTCTGCCTCTCCTCCGATCAAGTGTCACCTCCTCAGAGAAGCCTTCCCAGTTGCCATCCCAGTGGGAGTACTCGCCACACCTTTTTGACCTGCCAGTGCGCACACCTCCTTTTTTTTAAAGATTTTTTTTTTTTATTGATTGATTTGGCAGAGATAGAGACAGCGAGAGCAGGAACACAATTAGGGGGAGTGGGAGAGGGAGACGCAGGCTTCCCGCCGAGCAGGGAGCCCGATGCGGGGCTCGATTCTAGGACGCTGGGATCATAACCTGAGCCGAAGGCAGATGCTTAACAACGGAGCCACCCAGGCGCCCCCGCACACCTCCTCAATAACACGTAACACTTCGTTTCATTGAACTTACCTGATTCCTTACCAAACTGTGCCCTCCTTAGAGAGCCGTGACTTTTACTTCTGGATCCTCAGCTCTTGGAACAGCACTGGCACACACCAGCCACTGAGCAGGCACCTCCTTTCCCCCTAGAACTCTCTCTTGCCATCTTTCCTTATGTCTCATTTCAGCTCCTTCCATTTCCCTAAGGCCCTTTTAAAATCTCTCACTTCTGGAGATCCAGTGCCACACCACATCAAACATTAAGTTATATGCAGACTTATATTAAAAACAACTTTTTTTGCTGTAAACATTTAAAAATTTTTTTGCACTTGAAAATTTTTAATCCAAAAGTAATTAATATAGTTTATAATTAGCTGATTTCTGACATCTGTAGACGATCAGAGATTCTTGTGAAATAAGAAACCTAACCTCAAATTGCTACAAAATGTAAAATGTGTACAATCCTAACTGAACAATTAATGGCAATGTTAATTTTGAAGATAAAGATCCATTCCAATTTTACAACATATATATATACATATGTATATATATAGAGATTTTTGAAAGCTTCTAGTCCTTAAGTAGGAGAGCAATATACCCAATGTATAAAATGACCCTGTCTTTCCTTGCAGGTGGAATATATACATAGAGAGTTCACAGATTTGAATTGACAAGATATTGTCAGGAGAAGAAGCTGTAAACATCTTGAGTTAATAATTGTTTAATTGTTTAAAACGCAATAATGGTAACCACACCTAGTCGGGAGATACTGGGGCTAAATAATTATAATTATATAATAATTATACTGGGGCTGCTAACAAAGCCACCAATCGGAAGAGATCAGGGTATCCTAAGATTCAGGGGTTTGGCACTGAAACTCACAGAGGTTTCTGGAGCACCACCTGCAGTTAGAGTGGACAGGTGCATTCTATCAAGATGGTATTGTTGGTTCCCATCCTGGGAGCTCCACTACTCCAAGCTCATGACAGCAAAAGGAAGTGTAAAAGACACAGCTAGTGGTGGTTACAATGAGTGCTCACTTTATCATTCTTTTAAAAATTGTACATATATATTTTATGTACTCTTCTGTACCTCTCCTTGGATGAAAAAATGGAACAGAAGCACAGAGCCATGCAGAGAGCAAAGACCAAGTTTCTGGTGGACTCCCACCAGTTTAGAAGCAGGTAGAGGCCACCTGAAGTATGGCTTCTATGAAGATAACAGAGAATAAATGTTCTCCATGCAAGCCAAGTACCTAGGAGGCAACCAAACCAACCAGCCGGCAGGTGTACTGGCTGGCTCTTTACTATCACCATGGGGCAGGAGCCCAGAACTCCACTATTTTAGCTTGCTCTGGACTGGGAGTCCCAGAAACCAGACAGAAGAAAAGTAAACAACTACACAGGGAGGGGAAGGGGAAGAAAGGAAGTGAGGAAAAGGACAAGAAAGAAAAGGGTGAAGGAAATAAATTTTCTGCTAAAATAAACCCGTAAACCGAATTTCCAAAACATCTGAAAGAAAATATTTCTAAGAAATACTGGCAACAAAATCAATAATCAAAAAGTGAAATCATGGGCAACGCTCTTGGGTCCCCTCCCTCTTTGGGAACTTTGTACTGTCAATAAACTTTGCTTTGCTGTCCACCAAACAACAACAACAACAACAACAAAAAAGTGAAATCACCTCAAACAAACGAAAGCAGTAGAACAATCTATAGGAAAAGAGAAAAGAGGCCATTCTCTGGCTTAAAAAGAAAATAACTCCCCCCCAAAACACAGTGGGTTGACAGAAAACAAAATATGTGGTTTTTTTTAAAGAATCCTCAGAGAAATGAAGGCATAATATTCACAAAACAAACCAGGGATTATGAAAAAAAAATAGGAATAAATGAAACAACATAAAGATGTAGAAAAGAATTTATCAGAAATTGTGGAAACAAAAAATCATGAGAGATTTAAAAAGAGTATCTTTTCTGAAATTGGAGGTATGAGTTTGGTGGGCTGTCTCTATCTGAGGTCAGCTTTCGTTTTCCCTTAATGTTTACTTTTGGAGGCTAACCTTCTCCAGCTCCTCTAATCATTCTTCATATCTCAAGGTTTCCAGGCCCCAGATTGGCTCTAAGAACTAGACAGACACAGTGCTTGAGGGTCCACCAGTAAAGTTAGCCCATCACCTCCTCTCCTCTGGACAGTTAACATTTTTACCAGTTGAATCACAACATTGGTTCATAATGAATATGTGGTCAGCAATCAAGTCTTTTTCTTTTTACATAAACAATATAGTCAAACCCAGTTTCCCTTCCATATCATGTATTTGCAAGATTAACGTTTCTCTTACCTGTTTTGGCTTAGTATTTCCATTGGTATTATTATTGTTGTTGTTTGAGAGAGAGAGAGTGATATTTTAAGAGAGAGAGCTCAGGTGCACTGGGGAGGAGCAGAGAGAGAGAGGAAGAGAGAGAATCCTTAAGCAGGCTCCACGTGCCCCCCGCGGAGCCCAACATGGGGCTCAATCTCATGACCCTGAGATCATGAGCTGAGCTGAAATCAAGAGTTGGACACTTAACTGACTGAGCCACCCAGGCTCCATTGGTATTATTTTTAACCTAAATTCTGACACAGTCTATATTGTAAACCTTTTAACTTTCATATCATCTGCAAACAACATGTCTTGTTTGTATGTGTCTTGTTCAAATACTGAATATGTCTTGTCTTGTTCAAATATTGAATATGACTGGACCTCCTATAGGACCTATCGTACAGCAATAGAAACTCTTCTCCAGGGGATCAGAGATCCAGTAGCCAGTCCTCTTGAACTGGTCGTTCAAACAGGAGCCCATCATTGCCATCTGTGACAAGCTAGTTCATGATGTCCTGAAAGTACTTCCGTTTCCTCTCCTGTTTTCCTCTTCAGAATGTTTCCCATTGCACTTTTAATCTCAGATTCATTAAAGGCTTTCACAGAACCCTACTCTTAAATCATCCAACACATATATATGGATATCTGCTCTTTTCCAGACAAAGTTGGTGCTGAGGTTACAATGCTTACTCAAAAAAGACACATGCCCAGCCCTCCTAGAGATTATGAGGCTGGCGGGTAATATATTCATAAATCCCATAAACACACAAGTAAAATGTGAAATTCCAGCTGTAATAAGTGTTGTGAAGGAGAGATGTCATGTGTTGAGAAGCTATGATGGTGAGATTTGGTCTAGTCTGGAAGATGAGAGAAGGTTTTTCTATTGAGGTAAAAATTAGATCTAAGACCTTAAGGATAAATGGGAATTAACTGGGTTGGAGTACAGACAGAGAACGGAAGTGTTCCATGCAGAGGAATCAGCAAGAACAAAGACCCTGCAGTAGGAGGGAGGAGATTTCATTAGAGGAACTAAAAGAGGCCATGGTAGCTGCCCCGGAGAACAAAGGGGAGCAGAGTGAGAGACGAAGCTGAGAACTGACATTCAGGACCTTATCCCCTCTTCTATTTCTTTGGGAAGAAAGAATACTCTCCTAGAGCTGCTTCCTGCCACAAGTCCTATTTTACGATATCTCAGGACAGTATAAACTATACATACCTAGTATTTTTTGTTTTCTTGGGATAATCTCAAAATTGCTTCATCATTCATACTCTGCTTTGGTGTGGAGATATCAGAGGTCATAAATATTACTGTTAATCAGCTTCCTGCCCCCCCTTCCAACCACAAGAATTCAGAGCACTTCCTCTTTTGTGTTGCAACTTTCTTTGTTACATTTGTTGCTCCATACTTTTAATGTTTTGTTTGGGTGGTTTATTCTTTTATCCCTTAAAATTTAGTGGAGGGTACACTGACTTTGGATGGCAGCTTGGGAGTGTCTATTAATTGTTTTTTTTTTTTTTTAAGATTTTATTTATTTATTCATGAAAGACAGAGAAAGAGAGAGAGGCAGAGGGAGAAGCAGGCTCCCAAGAGCAGGGAGCCCGATGCGGGACTCGATCCCAGGACCCTGGGATCATGACCTGAGCCGAGGGCAGACGCTCAACCATCTGAGCCACCCAGGCGCCCAGGAGTGTCTATTAATTGTTGAAGAAATACTTGTAACGTATGGCCTGGCAATACCATTTTTAGGTTATATACTCTAGAGCTGTGATTTTCAAAGTATGGCACTTGGACCATCATCATTTGCATGACCCGAGTACTTGCTAGAAATGCAAATGTTCAGGTTTTGCCCAGATCTGCTAAATCAGACACTCTAAGAGGTGTACCCAGCAATGTGTGATTTTTTTTTTTAGAGAGAGAGAGAGAGCGCTCAGCGGGGAGTCTGCTCAGGATTCTCTCTCTCCCTCTGCCCCTACCCGGTTGCTTGCTCACTTGTGCACACGTTCAATCCCTCTCAAATAAATGAATAAACCTTTAAAAAAAAAAGGGCAATATGAGAAATCCTTGTGGTGATGGAACTTTTCTCTATCTTGGCTGTATCAACTGTCAGTATCCTGGTTGTGATATACTATAGTTTTGCAAGATGTTAC